GAAAATCACACAGCTGGTCTGCGACTACTTTCTCAAGGATCTTTGACATAAAGGGAAGATTAGATATTGGTCTATAGTTGGCTAACACCTCTGGATCCAGGGTGGGCTTTTTTAGTAGAGGTTTAATTACAGCTACCTTAAAAGACTGTGGTACATAGCCTGTTAATAAGGATATATTGATCATATCTAATATATGAGTGTTAACTAAAGGAAAGACCTCCTTAAGTAGCCTAGTTGGGATGGGGTCTAAGAGACACGTTGATGATTTAGATGAAGAAACCACTGCTGTCATTTCTTGAAGAGAAAGTCCAGTGTGTAGGATTCCGTGGCATCTAGCGGTGAGGTTGCAACTGGAACTTCTCCCATGTGCCAAACATGTAGAAGAACTTGCCAATGCAATCCACAAATGGCCCTACCAATAGTTAGTGTTTGATTTGTCCATTTTAGGCTACTGTAGAAACATGGTGGACTCCTTGGGAGAGGGCCCGCTCTGTATGTAGATAAAAACAGCTAATTCTAAGGCAGCAAAAACAAAATGATTCTTAGTTTCAGGTGATTATAAACTAATGAAAACACAGTTATGAAAATTATATATTATTCCTGCTAATAGCTGCCCCTAAATTCTACACGCTGGACCTTTAAATGGTTTATTTACACTTTATTACATCAGAAGTGATTAGCATGTCAAGTCAAAGGCAATTGAATTTAGTTTGTACATTCTTGGAGATGTCACCTGAGCACATCAAACACGGGAATGTGACCGGTACTCCCCACCTTTCAGGAGAAATGCCTCTTGAATAATGGTGTAGATCCTTGTAGATATCTTGTGACCTGGATAATAGTGACATCATGGCCACAATTAGTGAGACTGTTGTTCATATGAAATGTCACAGGATCAGTGAAAACAGTCAGTTTTTGCTCATCAGCTGACACAAACATATACTTTTAAAGCCACTTTGGTTTAACGCATTGTCCAAACACATGAAAGCAAATGTGAATGTGCAGTGTGTGTATTTTTGTCTGTCCGTAGTGAGGCGTACGCCATCGGCAAGAAGGAGAGGCCTCCGTTCGTTCCACAGGAGCAGCCCAAGTCAGAAGAGGAGGAGGATCCTTTACCCGAGGAACTCCTGTGTCTGATCTGTCATGACCTGCTGAATGATGCTGTGCTCATACCCTGCTGTGGAAACAGCTACTGTGATGACTGTGAGTGTCTCTCTCTCTCACACACACACACACACACACACACACACACAGATAAACTTATGTACACTTGCTGTACTTTAAAAGTCATTCTGGTCCTGATATACTGTGTCCATCACAACATAATTAAAGTTGCTGTTGTCTCCATATTTACATTTCACCCGTCTTTATCTCACGCTCAGGTATTCGCACCACTTTACTGGATTCAGAGGAACACGTCTGCCCCACTTGCAGCCAATCAGAAGTCTCACCTGACAGCCTGATAGCCAATAAATTTCTCCGACAGGTGAATTGACAGATGGATGGAAAATATGTGTTGATGTTGTGGTTTTGAGGGAATGGAGAGAATTACATAAATATTTTTTGTACCAGTAGTATTGAAACATTCTGACATGATTCAGCTTCCTGTCGGTCTGTTTCTCCAAACACAGGCTGTGGACAACTTTAAGAAAGAGCGAGGCTACACTAAAACCCGGAAAAGAGGGTGTGGGACCTCCCAGTCCCAAAATCCAACCCTGACACTGAGCCCTGCCCCCACCCCACCCCCTCTCGCTGTGCAGAGCCAACCTCAGAAGCCTCACCTGCCAACCAGCAGCCAGCAGGTGAACCTCATAATGATGTGTTGCATCCGTGTGACTCAGGAGCAGAATAATTATTGTTTCCTTTTTACAATCAGATGTTTGCCAGGTCTCAGAGTGACGGTCCTCCTCCTCTAAAAAACATTGAAACAAATGTTTAAACTAACAAGAAATGTATGTTTTAATGTGTAGCTCTTCTTTGTAGTTGTTCTTCACTATACTGTTCTGTACTATATTTTGATCTCTGCTATATTCTCTTGTGCTCCTCCTTTAGGACCCTCTCATGCCCCGCTCACAGGCTGCAGACTCACCACCATTGTCTCAAGTGTGTGTGGCTCCGCCCACAGCAACAGACCCTGCCTCTGCCCCTAATACGCCGAGCACTTCCCTCCAGCCTACGCAAAGCCACCTGGAGATACCTGACAGGTAACTACACACATAAACAACTCAAACATTAGTAGAAAGACTCGCTCTGCTGCTGCCTCACCTGAGATTTGTCATGAGATTTATTGCAGTGGTACCCTAAAGATTTTAAAGTTGTAATCCCCTTCAGTTTGATTTATGAGGAAGCAGATGCTCAAGGAGAGTTTGCTGTAGTGTTAAACCACACTGTCTGTTACCATGGTAACCAGGGGTGATTCAGAATCACCCAGTACTGACATCTTAAGGATTACAGTTTCAAGGCAGTTGCATATTACAAATACAGCATGTGACCGTATTTAACCCATAATTTTACCATCTATGGCGCTGAGTGAAAAACGATCCATCTCAGATGCTTTGGTGATCGATCATTCAACACAGTTTGCTAGTACACCAAAGAATAGTTTGCTGGACCATAATGACCAAAAGCACCATGAGCTGATTGAGTTGATTTTAGGTGTGTACTCTGTGAGCATATCAGCAACATAGGAAGGAACTAAATCATTTAACAACATTTGAAACAATAAGAAGTATTTTAAAATCAATTCTTTGTTTTATTGGGAGCCAGCGAAAAGAAGAAGATATTGCTGCTGCATCCTGAAGAAGCTGGAGTTTCTTTAATATCTGCTTTGTCAGTCCAGCAAAAAGTGCATTACAGTAATGCAGCCTACTGGAAATGCGTGAGCCAGCTTTTCAGGTGGCCCCTGTGTTTATAGACTGCCATTGTTACATTTCAATTATCACAGATGGAATGTGAATTTTTTCACACTTAATAATCTGTACTGAGAACAGAAAATGAACCCTGATTTGAATACGTCCATTTGTAAACCCATCTTTCTTTCTCTGTTCAGACCAAAAATAGAGCTTTGCTTGCCCCAAAATGGTCTCCAGAGTGTGTAAATCTTTAAACTTCAGCCTGGCGTTTCAGTGCTTTAAAGGGAACCAGACAATTTGGAAAATGATGACAGAACCCCGCCGACTCATGTCAGGAGCGCTGTAGCAGTAAAGTCAAGAAAAACTTTTGTTGCTTCTAACTTACTTTGTGATCATTCATCTTAAATATCTACACAATACAATACAATACATAGCAGAGCCGACGTCATTAACTTGAATTATTTGTTGTTTTTGTTAGACATTAAATTTTTACCACTGCAGCGACTACTGGTTAACGTCATGTTTGACTAAATCACTATTTCATACTTGATCTGTTGGGTGACGACAGAAACCGAAAAATATGTAAATAAAAGCAAATATATCGTTAAGTTTGCCATGTTAAAACACAGTATAGATGACCACAGAGAGCAGGAGGAGAATGAGCAGAGACGTAACAGGACAGGAGGATGTGTCTGAAGCTGCCCAGCGAGCAGTGGCAGCAAAGTTAACAAACTAACTTTGTGTTGTCTCTAACTTTCTCTATGAAAGCTTTTAGATGTTGATATAGCTGATGATAAAACACAGCTGCTGTATCTATGATGATTTTGTCAGATGACTTTGTCGGCCATTTTGTTTTTCACATTCCAAAACAGATGTTGGCTCTGATGCACAGTTTTGTTGTTTGCAGTTTGTCAACTGTAAAGACGTTTTTATGTTGTTCAGTTGTTTTAGTGTGGACAGAAATCTCTATGGAACCCTGTTTTTTTGATAATCAGATGGCATTATATAGGTGACATATTGGTTTCTTTTGACAGTTTAAGTTGGAGCTAGTTGAAGGTCTGAATGTGTTAAAGGGTTCCTCACAGGAGTGACATTAAGAAAGAATATGGAAATAATTGTGTTATGTCATTCTAATGATTTTTAGCCTAAAGTAAATGCAGCATCAGTCTGAAAACATTTAGAACAGCCTCCTGTACACGAAGAGGAACATTTGGTGCAATCAAAATATGGCACTTTGGATTTGAGGCTGAAGAACTGGTAAACAGCTGATGTTGAGTTCATGCGGCACTCTGATGTATCTGCTGTTTATTCAGAGAGGCTGAAGAAAAGACACACGATGACTCAGCGGCTTCTGCTGCCCCTTCTGGACCGGTTTCACCCAAAGACCCCACTGATGCTCCATCACAGCTGATACCACTGGTGAGGACACACAGATACAACCACACACACTTTTCAGCAAAGTTTCTCTGTATGAAATCTATGATTGTGTCTGTTCAGGTGAACCTTACTACAGAGGCAGAGCAGCCGCAGACAGACAGCGTTAATCTACAGCAGCCCTCCTCAGGTGAGTGTTGAAGGCTATGTTCACATTACAAACAAATAAAGCCCAAATCCAAATAATTTTTTTTTATTTCCCAGGATATAGCCCAAGAAGCAGTGTTTCTTTCTGTTTATTCCTTATACTGTCAGTATTAATCATTATGTGTTTGTCACCTTATTATTCGAGTAAACAAATTACTGATGTATTATGTTGAAAACTGCAGTAACATCTCTAACACAAATAAAACCACTGACTCTACAGGTCCAGCCCTGAAACCCTCTGTGCCACCAACGACCTGGGAGAGGTCAGTGAAGCTTCTTTATTTAAGACTGTATTTGACTCCACCTTCTGTTTCAAGTCTGACTTCATTTCCTCTTCCTTCTTCTCTTCCCCACAGCTCCTCTTCCTCCTCTCGCCCCGCTGAAAGCTGGAATGAAACAAACACTCAGCAGCAGCAGCAGCAGCAGCGTCCTCCCCCCTCCATTTCATATCCCACAGCTCCTCCACCTCTCTTTCCCTCCCCTCATTTTCACACATTCCTCACAGCTCAGCAACCTCTCAGTAGTTACCCACCTGGATACCCACCTACCACGCCCGTGTGGACTCTCCCAAACCTCCAGGGTGCCCCCATCCCTTCCCTGTGCCCCTCTACCTCTATCCCTGCCCTCATCCCCAAGGAGTGGTACAGGCATCAGAGAAAGAAGAAGGAAAGGTAAGAGTGCATAGTAACTGAAAGCATCTTGATATTAAATGACTTACCTTGTTTAATTTCAGTGAGAATGAATTTACCAGTTTTTTTAATTCCAGGCAACAAAGGAGACTTTACAGTGGCCTTACAGCTGCAGAGATATTGTAGTATGGAGACAATATACTGATAGTAGTATGAAGTTTCCACCTCCTCTTCCTTTATCTTTGTCACTCAGGTCACCTCACAGAGGATCTTCGCACAAAAGCTCCTCCTCTCGCAGTGATTCAAAGTCCTGTAAGTCCAAGTCATCTCGCTCCTACTCTCGCTCCTCAAGCAGATCCAGATCACGCTCCAGGTCCAAAGGCAGATCCAGGTATTTTGTGCCTTTTTTTTTTTTTTTTTTTTAGTTTTTTGTGTGTGTTTATTCCACTTTATGCCTCTGTTGTGTAGTTGTGTAATTTCTTCAAATTTGACTCAAATGTCCACTTTGATTTAAAAATGATCTGATTAGATTTGTGTGGTCAAAGGTCACTGAGACCTCACAAATAGGGCTGCATTTTTATTGTCTGCCAATTATTCCATTTATTAATGGATTAGTTATTTGGTCTATATCATGTCAGAAATTTGTGATAAATGTCAGTCAGTGTTTCCTAAATCCCAAGATGACGTCCTCAAATGTCTTGTTTTGTCCACAACCCAAAGATATTCAGTGTACTGTCACAGACGAGTAAAGAAACCAGAAAATATTGTCCTTTTAAGAGTCTGGACTCAGAGGTTGTTTTTTTTTTTACTTTTTTCTTAAAAAAAAATTTACTCAATGCAATTAATCGATTATCAAATTAGTTGGCAGTTAATTTAATAGTTGATGACTTGCAGCTCTACTCACAAAATATGTTTTTGGCCATAAGTCAAGGATTCATATGCTAATAATGACAAAATTTCACACAAATGTATATAATAGGATAACATCCTATATCCAAAAGGTCAAAGGTCAACTTCACTGTGACATCATAGTGTATTTTAAAAATGCTTCTCTGGCTGTTACTGAAGGGGAGATATTTGGTCAGATACTGAAATGGTGACACTAATCTTGGGTGTCCACCTAGAAACTGTGCTGATTGTGTAGATCATAGAAACTGTGTGTGTTTCGCCAATAAATAGACTTAGTTTTTTTTTTGTTACATTCCTTAAGAGTCTTCACTACATACAGTAAGTAAGTCTGGATCAGCATGGATGTAAACTGCAGCTTGACTGGTTAGCAGAGTCATACAATCATGAGGCACTAATTGTAATTTGCCATAAAATTATACTAAGAAATTGTTGTGAACAACATCAGCAACCATCATTACAGGTTTCCCTGATGTTAGCATGTAGCTACATGTAGCAGTGTAGGCAGTAGCATACCTGGAGCAGATGATCATATAAAGATATTCGGCACATTATGGAGGACACATTAAAGTAATAACGGAAAAAGGTGAAATGGGAATTGATGTAGAGATGTGTGACATATGACACGACTGAATGTTTTTTTGTTCCAGGCCCCACTCAACTTACTCCCGCCACAGACACCTCCACACCCGCTCTCATTCCTCCCGCTCCTATACCTATGGTTACAAACGCTCCCCCACACCGTCCTCGTCTTCATCATCTAGAGCGGGTTACCATTCCAGATCCAAGTCACCATCAGATGACCACAAGAACAGCCATCAAAGTCGGCACCACAGTAAGAAATCAGCTTCGAGCAGCTACAGGAAGCGAGGAGAACACTCCCATAGGGAAGCAGGAGGTTCAGGAGGAAGTGCAGCTACTTACCCGTACTCTCAGCACGCGAATCAAGCTAGCAGCCTGGAGCTGGACAGAGAGCGATACCTGCAGTGGAAACGGGAGTACAAAGAGTGGTGCGATAAATATTTCAGCAGCTATGTCGGCCACTTCCACCAGCTGCCACTTCCCCTTCTAAGTCTTCCTCCTCCTCCTCAGTGGGGGGAGAGAGATGAAGGCAGAAATCACTCCCATTCTAACTCGGACTCTCACAACCGACTCCAAGGTAGACGCGCCGCCCGGAATGGCCGCTCCCCTCCATCGCAGTCATCCAGTGACAGCCGCTCCCCTCCATCTCAGTCTTCACGTGACCACCACTCCACGCCATCTCAGTCATCCAGCGACAGTCGCTCATCTCCATCTCATTCGTCCAATGACAGCCGGTCCCCTCCCTCTCAGTCGTCCAGTGATGGACGTTCCACACCATGTGAAGACAGAGCTCAGTCAAGGGCACTTCAGCAGAGGTGCACTGAAAAGTACAGCTGCCTGCCAGCAACACTTACAAAGGGCAGCAAGGAGGTGCAACAGCAAGAAGGAAGTAAAGACGGCCAGCAGCTAGTTGCTAAGAATTTGGAGAATCTCAGCACTTTAAAAAATGAGCAGACCAGCATAAAGAAGCATGAGGAGCATAGAAGAGAGAAGTCATCATCCCCTGACTCAACAGATGACTGCAGAAAGTACAAGAGGAAGCTCAACACTGAACCAGATGCCTGCAAAGATGGCAGCCCAGCACCGGATGAATCCACTGCCAGCAATGCCTTAAAATCAGCCCAAGCACTTGTGAAACCACGTAAACATTTGGATAAAGACTGTGAAAGAAAAAGCAGAGAACAAAGGAATTTGGAATCAGAGAAAGGACGGCCAAGAGGCAAACATTCAGACTTCAGGCATGATGTGGAGAGACAGCACAGAGAGAAGCCCAGGGAAGAGGCAGGCAGGGACCGACACCCTGGAGGCAGGAGAGCTTCTGACTCAGGATCAGAGAAGAAAAGAAAAAGAAAAGGAGAGGACATGGAGAGGAGTTCTGATAAGGCTCAAAGCAGCAAATGCCTGAAAACTGAAATTGCAGAGGACCCTGAAACCAGCAAGAGTGAATCCCCGAATCCATTTGAGAAAAGCAGGCCAAAACCAGAGAAGAAAAAGGAGAGGAAAACATTGCCTTTGACAGAGACAGACATCTGGGAGGGAGGGATAAAGGTGAAACCACAGAAGAAGATAAGCATCAATATAAACTTGGATGGAAAAAAGAAGGAAGAGAAAAATGAAAAACGGGACTTGTCTTATTTAGAGGGCCTCATGGGAAAAACAAAAGAAGAAAGTGAGACTGCTGATAAAGAAGATGATGAGAAATTAAACAGAGGAGAGACGAACATCGAAGGAAATGAAAAGAAGGAATCCAGCAGAGACATTGAAGGTGCGTCTGAAGAAAAAACAAAACCAGACGAAAGAGAGGCACAGCAGAAATGGGCGAAAGCTACCTTCAGAGATGATATGCAAGAGATGTTGGAGAAAATTGCAGGAGAGAAAGAAGACACTGAAGAGAAGAAAGAGGACTTCGACTTATGGCACAGTATCCTCAGGGAAGTGGAGGAGAAGAAGGAGAGTATAAACCAGTGGGAGGAAGGAGAGCTGGTGGAGGCCAGCAAAGGAGAAGAGGTGGCAAAGGACGAGAGAAGGAGCATGTGGGGAGGAAAGGAAGGACAAGAGATGGCAGAGTTAGTGGCAGGTACCTGGAAGGAGAGGGCAGAGGGGGAAATCACATGCGAGGAAAATAGAGGAAACTTGTTTGGTGAGTCAAAGCCAAAGGAGGAGCTGATGGAGAGACTGAGGTGGAGGATGAGGAAAGAAGAAGAAGATGACGCAATGAGGTCCAAGTCACAGTGGAGCAAAAATGAGAGCCACGATGACAGACCAGACACCACGGTGGACGATGGCAGGTCAGAATATTCAGAATGGAATAGAAATACTTTGTCTACTTTGGTTGGCATGTGCAAAATCTGCTATGAAAAAGGAAAAAGGAACATTAAAACACATCATATCACATCCAGACAGCTCAAATTAAAACACATTTACATAAAAGTGAAATACACAATAGACGCTACATCGAAAGGAGCAGCAGATACTTGATGGCGAGGACTGAATCAAGGTTGATTAAATATATAGTGCTGTGTAGCAAACTGGCAAACTTTAGTCAATAGTTAGGGAATAATTTCTTGTCAAAATAGCACCTTATCAGATATTCTAAGATAGGTTACACACGTAAAAACCTTTCCATTAACATACTTGTCTAAGAAATGTGTTTCATGAAAGCCTAGAAGCCCTTTTCTATTGTAAAGATGAGTACTAAGATGCATTTTGTGTGTGTTATTTACAGCAGCTACGAGGACCATCAGGAGAGGAAGACAGTGGTGAAAACCCTGGAGGAATACACCCAGGACAGCACTGCAGACGGACAGGACGAACTTGTGCTCATACAGGTGTGTCTGTGAGCACGGCCTGTGGAAATATAACATTTGTAGAATCATTTGTGTTTCATACAGTTTCTCTGAAGTCACTCACACATACATACATGCATGCAGAAGCTAAAAATTACATGTCTAATTCTCGCCCTCATGCTCTGTCTCAGGTCCCTCGCTCCAAATGGGAGAAGGAAGAGTCTGAGGAAGAAGAGCGGGATGAAGGAGAGATCAAAGATCAAATAGATGCACTTGCAATGTTTCTGCCTCCGCCATCCGTGTCTGTGACAGCAGAGGTGCCAACCAACAGGGAGACAGAGAGTGAAGAAAAGACAGAGAGGTCAGTGGAAATGCAGAGAGGAAGGGACAGGGAGAAAGAGAAAAACCCCAGTTTGACCAGTTCACACAGAAGTTTGGCTCCCTCTAGTGGCAGAGACCAAACTGACCTGTCTACAGACAGAGACAGGGAGAAAAGGGTGGGGGTGGAGAGACGGAGGGATAGAGACAGAGGGAGGGAGAGTGAGAGATCACGGGATAGGCAGAAAGAAAGCAAAAGATCAAAAGAGAGAACAAGGGAGGAGGAGAGAAGGAGAGACAGGAGGAAAGAGAGGGATTCCCCAAAGAGGAATCACCCTTCCTCCTCTCACTCCTACTCTTATTCGATGTCACATGACTCAGAGAGGAGAGACAGGCAGCGAGGGGGCGATCTGGGTGGCTGTCCTGGCGTGAAATCCTCAAGCAGCAGAGCTAATGAACTGCCTGATCATGATACCAACAAATCACATAGAGACACGTTAATGGACTCCAAATTTAAAGACAAAGATCAGCCCTACTACTATCACATTCACCAAGATCTATCAGGAAACAGACCTGCAGGGACCCACCACTACCCACCTTCCCTCTCCCATAGCCGGGGTAAGGAGAGAGACCTGCTCCCCTCCGGGTCAGAGCTCAGTAAGCCCAGAATGAGCAGCCCTGAGTGGGAAACAGTGCAGAATAGATTTAGAGATGACAGCAAGGTTGAAAAGGCAGAGTGGAAGCTGCAGCAGGTGATAAAAGAAGTCAAAAGGGAGAGAGAAAGAGGTAGTCGACGAGAGGATGACACCGTTGAGTTGGACAGACAGACCAGGTGGGAAGGAGGGAGAGAGCTGGAGGAAGGGGAGAGGCCCAGCAGCCGCAGCAACAGCGTCAGCTCATCGGCAAGCCAGGAGAATGACAGGGACGACAGGGACGACAGGAGAAAAGAAAAGAAGACGATACAAAAGAAGCATAAAAAGGAGAAGAGACGAGCCTCCCCGGAGCTGCTGGAGGAAGGGGAGCTGAAGAAACACAAACACAAGAAGACGGTAAAGAAAAGCAGAGATGAAAGTGAAGAGGAGAGCAGTGGAAAGGCGGATGGCAGGTGGAGAGAGGAGGATGACCGCACTGAGCTCTGCTCAGTTACGTTATCTTGATTCTCAAAGAAAAAAATTTAATTTACTTGAATGATGTTTTTCCTTTCTGTGTCCAAAAAGTGCCTGATTTTATTTTTTAAACTTCATTTTATTTTCCTGGGATACTGTTTTGTATCACCTTAAGATGTCTCACATCAAATATGCATCATCCAAAATGAAAGTGAACAAATTGTGAAGGAAAAGCACTTTAAACTATATAAAAATGAATGTGAATGAAAGCAAATGTTGAACCTTGGGCGTCTTGAATTATTTAAAGTTCAAGGAATTTGCACATGCTCTCAACTTGCTCAGGACTATCCGCCAACTATGGTTTATATACTGACGCTGCGATGTTACAGTGTGCGTGGAGGAAATGTTTGACGAAAGGTCAGTCAGAAATTTGATTTGCCTCAGACAGAAGCACAGGAGTGCACATACGAGGGTTATTGAGTTTGTGATTAATTTGAAACATACTGTGAATATTTATGATTTGAACCTCTGTGTTGTAATTTGTTTTTATTTTTAATTCTGTAAATGTTTAATTTAAAAACAGCTGCTGGATGGATAAGATAATTTACCAGAGGAAATTTTTGTTCTTCCTGTTTTGAAGGAAATAAAAAGAAACATCTGTAAAATGTTTTCTGTCATGCTTTCTGCTGCTGTTAGACATTAGCAAGTAGCCTAATGGAAGCATTAGGCTTTGAGTTATGTCTTCTCAAATTTGGTGGGTATGTCAGGGGTGTTACATAATCAGCAGTGATGTGAATATACACCAAATTCTGGTTGATCTATATCTATTGTATATACAGTTTTTCTGCCTTTCTATTGCCAATGTAAACATATATTTACCATACCAATACAGCCCCACTAAATTGAATTAAATGAAACCTCAACTTATTAAAAGGCAGTGTGCTTGCAGAGCCTGCTCAGTAGCCTACACACATGGCCTACGCCCTTGTGAGCACTTATACTTGTGTGGTGGTGTGTCTGTGTCACTCTGCAGTTACACCTCCAAAACACTAGTCGGCGGGGTTTCTGTGAAGTGCTGTAAAGTTTAGTTGATTAAAAACACACATTAAATATGGCTGAATAGCGATAGTTTCAAACACAAGTACACAAATCTGTTTCACTATAACTCGCAGCATTCTCAGACACAACAGGTTGGTCAACACATCATCCTTTCTCTTTACATAAATGTTTTGCAATGTTATGTTGGGGCTGAACTCAGCCCAGTTGTTAGCTCTTTTAAATTGGAGACTGCAAAGGAAATGCACAGGCTTAAAGGGAAAGCTCACCCCAAAATCGAAAATACATACCTGTAGTGTTATTTATCAGTCTAGTTTGTTTTGGTGTGAGTTGTCGAGTGTCGGAGATATTGGACGTAGAGATATCTGCCTTCTCTCCAATATAATGGAACTAAATGGCACTCAGCTTGTGGTGCTCAAAGTGCCAAACAATACATTTAAAAACCTCAACAGCAATGTCTCTTTTCAGAAATCATGACTCTGTTACTCTTTATAATCCACAGACCTTGTTGTGAGCAGTTTCATGTAGGAACTATTTTCTTTCTTCCAAATTACACCTGCTAACCATATCACTACGCAGAAGGAAGTTTGCATCTACTTTTTGTTTATTTTCTTTTTCTTATTTTTTTTTTTTTTTTGTTCATTAATGTTTTTTTTCTTTTTTGTTCTTTTTTTTTATTTTTTTTTGTTTTTGTTTTTTTTCTATTAGTAGATGCATTCTTCCTTCTGCGTTGTGATTTGGTTTGCTGGTGTATTTTGGTAGAAAGAAAATAGTTCCTACATGAATCTGCTCACAACAAGGTCTGTGGATTATTTTGAGTAACTGTGTCATGATTTCTGTAAAGAGACATTGCTGTTGAGGTTTTTAAATGTATTGTTTGGCACTTTGAGCACCACAAGCTGAGTGCCATTTAGTTCCATTATATTGGAGAGAAGGCAGATATCTCTACGTCCGATATCTCCGACACTCGACAACTCACACCAAAACAATCTAGACTGATAAATAACACTACAGGTATGTATTTTCGATTTTGGGGTGAGCTTTCCCCTTAAGCCTGTGCATTTCCTTTGCAGTCTCCAATTTAAAAGAGGTACAGTGCTCATTTACACATGGATCACACAGCAGGGTTACTTCATCAGTTATTCAAATCCTCCTACACTCAACGGGAACTAACGGTCTTTTACCTTTGGTGCTTTTTTACCTGCCAGACTGGAAAGGTATTACACTCAGATTCTGAGTTGCTAAATAATTTTGTGTTCAGCAGTCCTGTTCTTTCAGCTCTCCCTTCACCTTGGCAGTTTCTGCCCGGAGGGACTGACTCACCTCTTTCTCAGCCTGGTGCTTGGTGGCAAACTCAGGGTTGGTTGAGGTCTGTTCTTTCAAGTCTCACCCTCAGGTCCTCTACCTGCTGCTCCGTGTCTGACAGAGGGTCTCCTGCTCGGCCCCTCGGGTTACTAATCAGCTCCTGGTCCTCACTCACCTTTTTAGTATGAGACTTCAGCTTTGTTTCCAGTTGTTGACGGTCGGCTGTCTCATCCTGAATCTTTTTGTTTCTGTATTCATCCTGGCGGAGAGGTCGATGTGCTGTTCTGCAGTTTGAGGTGAGCTTTCATTACTTTTACCTTTGTGTTTAAAGCTTTGTTTTCATTGTTCTGCTTTCTGGCCTGCTCGTCAGGGTCCAGGGCTGATGTTGTTTGATATTTCTTGAAGTTGCAGCCTGTCTCTGAGGGACAGATTGTCTTTGTGTTACCTGGTGAAAGGTCTGGACATAGTTTTTCTATCTCTACATCAGTTAAGTTGCCCTACACACCACTACAAAGAAAAATGAGAACAAAATTTTCTAAGATCTACGTGTATCTTGGAGTTACAAATATTACCTTTTCTTGATGTTTCATATTGGCAAAGTGTGTATTTGGCACGTCTTACTCTGAATAAACACTTTAATTCATAGTAATGATACATTTTTTGTTGCCTAGCAGTGCTTTAAATTTCCTAACACATTTTTACTTGTTTTCTGGTAAAAACAAAATTCCCGTAATGTGTGCCGACGTCTCAGGGCGCAGTGCCAACACAGCCTGATGAAGACCAAACTGTGTTATTACAGATAAATGTTTCCTTCACTAACATGCTCTTTACCGCCATTTATGTGCTCTTCTTTGTCTTCGTCCCTCTGCTTGTTGTCACCTCTCCAACCCGATCTCCTCTTCCTCCTCTTTGCCCACCTTTTATTTCAGACACCATGTTAGTTACTCATCCACCCAGACATCCCGAAATCCCAGACAGTCAGCCAGAGACTGAACACAACAACGCCTCCCTTCCACTCGTCACTTATTTGCCAGGTAAGGACTGCCACGCTGAACACGAAAATATATTTCTTGGCTTTTCCTCATTTCCTCTTTGCACCATGATCCTGCTTTACCTAGAAAAACACTCAAACATTAATCAAGACATCAAACAAACACGATTTAACCATAAACAAAGACGTCCAGTTTCCCGACAGGTTGGTGGCTGCTTGCCTTGTTGGGCTTTTTGTTTGTGCAGGAGGTGGGAACATGTTAAAATAAATATGAAAGATGCGTTCAATATGCCTGCTGTCTGTGCTGGCTCGGGTTTTTGTGCCCGCTGTGTGCATGTGTGTGTGAAAGTTGATGCTTGAAGTGTATCCAAGCTTTTCTTGCTTCATTAACTCACTACAAGGAAGACATGGCACAGATCCAGCCTCTCTGTCTCTCTCTCTCTCTCTGTCTCATCTCTGTTTTTTTGCCGTTGTGACTGCAGTCACTCGTTGGCGTGCCAAGGCATGCTGGGATTGAACAGAGGAAATCTGGTCGGTGTGGGATGCCCGACTTGGCTTGTGTCCAAACTTTGGACGGAGGGCTGGCCCAGGCACCTCTTATGCTTTCATAACAAAAAGGTATCATCTCCCATTGGCTTGTTGTGCACTGCTGTGTGTCCTCCAAGATGGCCGCTGAACTTAATGGACTCCCTGCATCCTGCATCCCATCTCGACCCTGCTTCCTGCGTGTTTTTCTGCACTTTTTTTCCGCACTGAAGCGCCTGGCTGCCTTTGTGCTGTTGAGCCTAACATGGTTGTCTGTCCATTCATGCTTCTGTGTATGTGTGTATGTGTGTGTGTGTGTGTGTGTGTGTTTGTAGAGGTCTAATGCTGCAGACAGACAGTGGCAGACTGTGTCTGGAGGCAGGTAGATGAGAAAAGCTGCAGAAAATGTGAGAGACAAAACAGAGATTCATGCACAGACAGACAAACAAACACAGACAGAGACACATCCAGACAGACAGACAGACAAGTGCAGATTGACCTGCAGACAGGTAGTCACACAGACAGCACAAAAAATTGCAGATTAAGATGTGAAAAACACCAGTACAGTGACCCTGCGAAACACAAAGGCACATTAGAAAATATGAGACATCAGACAGACAGGTACAGATGGCAGACAGATGCACAGACACAAAGATCCAGGCAGGCAGAAGGACAGACAGACAGACAGGTGGACCCTGTAGCAATCAAGAACAACATCCCTCCTGCTCTCCCTGTGTGGTGAGGATCAGAAACGAGGTACGCTTTCTTTTATCCTTCTTTATTTCTCTGCCGTCCCGCCATCCGCTGCGCTTTGTTTCTTCCTGTGTGCTTATTTTAGCCTCCTTTCTTTTTTTGTTTTGTCTATTTTTTTGTCTGGGTTTCCTTCGCTCCTTTGTGCCCGTGATGTGTGCCGACGTCTCAGGGCGCAGTGCCAATGCTGCCTGATGAAGACCAGGCTGTGCGTGCTCTTGTTTGTGTGTGTGTGTGTGTGTGTGTGTGTGTGTGTGTGTTGGCATATGCAGATTGGCTTGTTTGGGGCCGGGGGCAGCTGCAAACACTTGTTTGTAGCATTACATCCATGTGGGGAGTGAGAAAAGGACCCGCTGCCTGTCTGCCCTTTGAGAGAACTCAGTCCAACTTTATAATTGGATGTTGTGAAAAAAATCAATACATTCAAAATATTGTGTGTAAGAGAAAATAAAATAGATCAAGTATAGCAAACATTAGGCTGCAAAAATGGACAACATGCAACATCGATTCAGCAAAAGTGAAAGCAGAGTAGGATAAATAATGAATACAGTGTATCTATCATAGTGCACAATTTTGCAATTACAAACAGGGATTGTTTTGAAAACTATTTATGCTGGTGCATTCAAGGTCACTCCGACCAAATCCAGGTTTGAATTCTTACAGTTTTCATGCTTGCTTTTTGTGTTCCTCCCTGATTTGATTTTGTCAAATAGCACAACACTTTTCAGAAGCTTCGATGTTGCAGCATCTTAAAATGAAATGGCAAGAAGAATTTTTAGAGTAGCCCATGCTCTTGAATGCATTGTCGCACAAATATTATGTCTCTTTAGTCACATAAATGGAAAGTGAGATAAATAAAATCAGTATATATACATATATGTTTAACATGCATGGATTACAGGACACATGCCAAATCATCTACATCATCACGCTAATTTGAATAAATTTTCTGGAACTTGGGGTGAGGTGGAAATGCAAACCACACACATTACCAGGAATTCTTTTATCCAGGTAAACAAATTCGTGGTAATAAAAGTT